CACACTCTTTGGGTCCTGTCATTGGATCTCACCAACGCCTTTATCCACTGTGCCATGTGTCCTCAATTAACAGGAGATAACTAATAACTGACATCCATTAAGACATGGCACGTGGAACTAGAACAGTCTACCCCAGTGAGCAAAATAAAGGATTCAGTTCGACATTCCAACCAACTGATGAAGGCCGGAGCGTACAACGGCCGAAACGTTGTGATAAATATGGCGACAAAGATGTGGACAATAGTCCGAATAATGTAAATAGTGTACATAATACCTCATCTCAGAAATATAGACAGATACTAAAGTGTTTGTTATTAAAATAAGTCCAGGTTAGTGATAAACCAATCAATTGAAGTAGCTAATGTTGGCCTTAGAATATGGTCTAATAACCATTTCATATTGCCTCAAATTTCCCCTGTAATTGGTCAAATTTCAAAATTGCAGTTCCGGAACGCCGAGTTATATGGCCTCGTTGAGCACACCAGAATCTACATGTTGGTAGTTGAATTTTCGATTATTGTTGCTGGTTGCGAAAGGAATGTAGGCCCTCTACTGCCAACTATTAATCACTAAATTTACCATCACGCGTGTTTAGATTTAAGACTATCAAAATGGTTCCTTCACGGGGTTTAGAAACCGGATTTAGAAATTAGATATTTTGAGTGGTGAGAAAATTCATTTCATGTTATCGATTTTTACTTGTTGGTTTTTTGTTTGGTTGATTTTGTATGTCAACATCTCTATGGGTTATTTAACGCCAACATCTAAATATTTTGAACACTTTTATGGCTTCAATTACAGATGCAAATGTATTGCTGGTAATTCTGCTATCAAATGTATCGTTAGTAGTTTTACTACAAATATGCATTGCTGGCAATTTTTGTTTTTATCTAAAAATTTATTGCTTGTATTTTTACTATAAAATGTATTTTAATACTTTTATAGTATTTTCTTTTGTTTGGGGGGGGTTACTATTTACCCATAACTGGAACCCTAACAGATGCTACCACCCTGGGTCAACTTGAACCTGGGAATAACAGCAATGCTCCCTCCAATCTCCCGATCAGAGGCCTTGCTGCCGGATGTAGTTTATCGTCATACTCAGGACGAATTTTTTGGTTGTCAAATGTCTTCCCGGATTTAAGTATTATTCTTCATTAAATGATGATAGAAACCCAACCATTACATACATTTAGATATAAACTTTAAAAATTGTATTATAAAATTCAGTTTTTATTATGAAAATGCTTAATTAATCTTGAACGCATCGGTTCTTAACAAGCGAAAACTATATTATTGTTGTGCGATAGCACCTTTTATATTTTTGCGGGTTTTAACGATTTTAATGAGATTTTATGACGATTTTAATGAGATTTTATAACGATTTTAATGAGATTTTATGACGATTTTAATGAGATTTTATAACGATTTTAATGAGATTTTATGACGATTTTAATGAGATTTTATAACGATTTTAATGAGATTTTATAAGCTCCTGCTACAATTGACCCGCAAACAATTTTTGGTGGTCTCGTGTAAGTCCAAAAAATAATATAAATAATATAATATTAATATAATAATTAATAATAAATAAATAACTAAATAATAAATAACTAAATAATAAATAATTAATAATCAATATAATATTAATATAAAAAAATAATAAGATATAGAATTTGAACAAGGAAATATTAACAAATATATTAACAGGATATTTTACAAAAAGGAAAAATGAGAAATGAAATTAAATGTAAAAAATTCAAAGCCAGTGTCTTTAGTTGAGTACTTACATTCTTTTCGCTATGAAAAGTCACCGAGAAAGAGAATGATCCTTTCAAATTTCGCGCTGCCTGTAATTATCGTCGGAAGTGGGGTTGGGGTGGTTACAGTAATTCAAAATCCCGCCACATTTGATTATCATCAGGGGGCGGTAATCCAACAATATAAAAAAGCGATTTGAGCGTAAATAATAATAATAATAATAATAATAATAATAATAATAATAAAAACTATAGTAGATATTAATTAATTAAAATGTATAGTAATTAATCCTTTTAAAAAATATAATCTCCCTTCTCATTGGATGAAGAAAATAACGTTGTAAAAAAGTTTTCCTGCTGCAACACAATCTTCCTATCTCGTTATTCGCTCCTATTTGGACTTGTATCAGATTAGGTAAGATGAGTAAATATGCATTACAATATTATACATTAATTGTAGACTAATGATCAATGAATTTCGATATCTTTTTTTAACCAATCAGAAACAATATATGTATTTTTTTTAATTAATCATAAAAGAAGACATTCCTGTTCACTCAACAATTACTTAGGTTAAACTCTTTCTGAAGCCTCTAGAGTATTATAAAAAATCAAGATGCAACTTGATTTTTTAGTGACCCGTTAGTTTTCTTTTGAGCTTCCATCTTCCTTCTCTGTGCCGTGACGTTTCAGACAGTGGACGATCACGGCTCGCCACAATTTATAGCTTTTAGCAACGTTTGCCTTTTTGCCATTCCTTCAATTACCTTTCCGTCACCCATCTGGTTAAGTCGGTGGTCTACTGCTTACCTTTGTCCCTTCTGCTTTCCATATGTCCCGTAAGTAGCAAACTTTCTTGTTATGTATCCAAGAAATTTCAACCATCTATTTCTGATTCTAAATATGTGCCGTTTTTGTTTTTCATTTTCTTTTTGTGGAACCAGATCACCGTTGCATGAAGACTTCTCTTGATATTGTATAGAAGTGCATACATTTACACCGATTTACTCATTTTTGACTCTTGCATTTTTAATCAGCCTCTTTGCGAATATTTTCCTGGTGAGTATTATTTAATCAGTGTTTTACTGCATCTTGTTGAAGACGATCTACTGCCGGTTTACCATCTGCTTCATTCATTTTCTCAAGGTCAGCTGATCTGCTGTTGATAGTTTTAATCTCTACGCGAATGCGTACACTCATATATATGCGTTTTTGCGATGAATAACTTCCATCTGTATCTTTGTGCGTGCAAAAATTACACAATTTATAATAACGTGCACTATAGAAATAGTAGAATTTTAGACAGTTTGTTTCATATGTTAAAAACAAATAATTTTATTGTTCATTTATTAAATAAAATTAATTTTGTCTCAGTCCCATTTTCATTTTTTGTGCCTATATTTTTTCATTGAAATTATATTTTAGTAATTTCTGCTTATACCAGGACTAGGCCAGACCACGGCTCTTATGCCGTCCATTTGGTGATTTCATACGGCCCACAAGAGCATAAAAATTATACTTTTTTTTCAAAAAGGTTGCTAAAAACATTTTGTTATTTTTTTTTTGTTACATGTTGCACAAAATAGTAATTGATACCAAACAGGATAAAAAGAGAACAGATGAAAACAATACACATTTAATATTTATTTTATTTTCATCAACAAAATCAACATCTTAAATAAACATCTATCGCCGTTTAAAAAAATGCATTTCTGCAATATTTTTTCAACTTAGAGTAATATTTGTTTCAGTAATATTTTTTTCAACTTAGAGTAATATTTGTTTCATATCAGATTAATTAAACTTTAAATCAGCTAATATTCCTCAAATAAAGTTTCAGAAAAGTATATTTTATTTATGAAAGTTTTTTTTTAATAAAGAGAATTACATTGTGATGACAGATAGTTAAAATGGCCCTAAAATCAGTGATTTTAGCCATTTCAAAACAAAAACTCCTTCCAGTCAATTTAAATTAATTTTGAAATACAGCCAAGTATTTTGACTATTGGAAATATTAAATTTAATGTATTAGCTTGAAATTAAGACTAAAATAAAAGCTTCATGAAAGATTTTTCATTTTTAAAAATTAATTTTAAACTTTAGGTATCGGGAATCTATGGAGATGCCTGGCTAATAGTATTAGCTTTTTGATTTCTAGTTAAACACCTATCATCCATCACCATGTGCTAAATACCAACAACGTTTTCTTTAATGGTGGCAGTTGCAGGACGTCCAAACCTTGGGCTAACTTCAAGTCTCTCCTTCTCCCTCCTAAATTCATCTACCCATTTTTGCACTGTTGATAAAACTGATGCGTCATCACTTAATGTACCAACCATGCCAGTATAAATGTTCTTGGGGGTTAAATCCTTTTTCTACAGGAACTTGATAACATCACGATGCTAAACCTTGTCCATTTTCAAGAAAGGTCGCTATTAGTTATTTTGAAGATTTCTTTGAACAGTCAAATGTCAGTTTACCTGGAAAGAAACAATGCAGTTATTAATAAGAAGAGTCGAAATTAATGCATGCAAGTTTTCACAGCTCTAGGATCACTCCTTTATAGTCAGCCTATGAATATTTCAGCCCACACTCGTATATTTTTTTCAGAGCTGATATGATGACTGTTCGACGTGTAGAAAAGATTCGCGAATTTATTTATTTTAAAAGTCTTTTTTGTTTTGTTTTATCGAGGACAAAATAGATAAAGGAACTCAACAGGGAAATTTTTCGGCGCATTAAGGGCAACAGCAACATTCCTGGAGAAATGAATGAATCAGTGGTGATCGCCCTACCCACAGGGTTACTTTGATGTGCATGCCCACTCGCTATCACAAATGGTTAAGGTTGGTCGGAGGTAGAGTTCATAGTGCATTCTGACGTTTTGATAAAATCCCAATAGAATATTAGTGTAAGAAGACATTGAAAAAAGGGGCTTTTAAGAGGGTTGTTGCGGTTTGAACTGTTTTTTTTTTATTGTTGTCGTTAATCAGGGTAACGGGTTAGGGGAGATTTTATTAGCGTTGAGGAAAGGAAAGGAAGTGGGCCGAAAATGGTGTCCGGTGTGGAGAGGGCAGGACAGGAAGCGAAACAACCAGATGAAATTCCTGACGTGTCATTGCACATATCCAGTCCTAAGAAGCGACACGGGTTGCTTCGTAGCTGAAATAGTTGAACATTTTCGAACGGCGCCAGTGGTTGTGGTTCGAACTCATACAAAAAAAAACCCCGATATTTTGAATGCTGATTTTCAAGGCAAACGCTTTCCGTATTTATTTCCTGTTTCCGCTGTGTTCTTTTAAATATCTCTACTTTGACAAAATCTTTATTTTTCGGTTGTGTTCGCTTCCTTTCTTTCTTTCTTTCTTTCTTTCTTTCTTTCTTTCTCTCTTTCACTTATTTGTCCTTTACCTTTACTCTTTTTCTTTCTCCGTTTCTCTTCATATATCTTTTCTTTGTTTCTTTTCTATTTTTAGCTTTCCATTTCACTTCGACTTAATATTTATTCACTTCTCTTTGGTGATATTTTGTTTTGTCTTTGTTTGTTTGTTTGGTTGTTCGTTTGTTTGTTTGTTTGTTTCTTTCTTTCTTTCATTTTTATTCCATTCTTTCTTTCTTTCTTTCTTTCTTTCTTTCTTTCTTTCTATTTCTCCTCTTTTCTCTTTCCCTATTCATGTCTTTTTTTCATTTTCCTTTTTCTTCCTTTCTTTTCTCTTTCTCTTTTGGTCCTCCCCTCATATTTGCTTTCTTTGTTTTACTTTTCTTCTATCTTCTCTTCAATGCCTCAATCTTTCTTTCTTTCTTTCTTTCTTTCTTTCTTTCTTTCTTTTTCTTTCTTTCTTTCTTTCTTTGTATGTTCCTATCTAAATATATATCCATTTAACTTTGTTTCTGTTTTCCTTTCTTTATTTGCAACTTTTTAATATATACATTTATATATATATATATTTGATGTGATATAAGACCCACTACACCTAATGGCGACTGGGAATGACATGGAAGAAAAGTCACGAAGTGTGCTTTGCTAGGGTCGAAAAACGTCATTTCAACTTGTAAGAAGAAAAAAATCATAGGGAAAATAGGGATCTGTCTGAATTTATGGAATGGTAGCTATCTTTCGTTACATTATTTGCACGCGGAATATTGTCCCCATCCTTGTTGCTATCACAACATTTAGGCCGTTATGCTCCCAGGCCTTTATCAGATGTTGGTGGATCCGGGTAATCTACAGAGAGTTTAAAACTAAACCCTTTATTTAATCTATAGGGATATATTGTTCTCATTCTGCTGTTTATGTCTAGGGGAGATAACTCGCCTGGTTCTATGTACTAATGCTTAGTTATTGGTCACCTCGTTTCCATTGTGTCTAAGTAATATTTTAGTTTAAAATAGGTAAAATTGTAATAAAATATGCTATATTTATTTAATAATAGCAAATAAATAATATATGTATAAATTTAGTTTTGGCGATGGATAGATTTAAATAATATTTGAATAAACTAACTGCAATAGTATTAATTTAATTAATTTAATTACACTGTGGAGAAGTTCCAAGGGTACTTAGTTTTATTTCTCGGAAACTTCAGAATAAATGAAGAAAATCAAAAGTATGAACAAATAATATGTTTACTTATTTGACTTTGATTGGAGCGTGTCTTTTGTAATTCGGGTTGGCGAAAGTTCGTCCGGCTTGGTAGTTGATAGTTTACGGTTCAGACTTTAGCAGTAGTCGTCATGTTGGCAGCTGTCCGGAGTGTGGTTACTTTGGAAATATCTTCAGCGTCAATCTACACTCCATTCGCGGGTCTCACAAGGGCGGGAAATGCCTTTAGCAGATGAGCACAAGCTTCTCTCCTGCTGCCTGTTGGCTGTCTCTTTATATATAGTTAAGAAAGGCTCCAGATTATTTGGTGAGAAGCTTAATTTTGGCTAGCATCAAAAATCTTTGTTGGCGTGATTGGTCAAAATTATTTTATTTTCCTTTTTTTTTTTTTTTCCTTTTTTTTTTTTTTTTATAGCGGGAGTTCTTTTATTTTGGTAGATATCTAGTTACAATAACTAGACCCTGAATGAACGAACTTCCGTTTCGCAGGAGTCTACTTCTTCCGCTTCCTCTTTTTTATTTTGAGGGTTGTATATATAGAGAAGAGTAGAGAGAGAGTGAGAGAGAAAGGGAATGAGAAAGAGAGGGAGAGAGAGAGAGGGAGAGAGAGAGGAAAAGGAAAACAAATGTTTTATATTAATTTGGATTCTTTTATTTATATATTTTATTTTCATATATTCTTTTTTCCATTTGAACTCCCCCACAACACTACATTAACTACAAATGTTGAATTTATATTAAAATATTATTTTATTATTCTCAGTTATATTTGAGTTTTATTTCATTGAAATATTAAATAAATTAAAATATTGTTTATTTTATCTAAATTATTAACTATTTCTAAATGAAAAATTTCCTTATTTTCCAGTGACTTTTCGTATTTGCAAGTAAAAGTTAAAACCGTTTTCCCTCCAATCAGCGTAATACATCAACTTTTTTGGGAAGACTCGGATACATTTTGTTGATCAAGTCAAACTATTTCAAATGTCGGTGTCATCATTTCTGCATGATCAGTTTCTCGTGAATATAAATCAGATTGAACAACTTGATCTTACTCTTTCTTTGACCTGAATACGTGAATGATCTCATCACACTTTTCATGTACACACAAATGTTTGATTTTTGTCAAGGTTTACAAACTGGCGATTTAAACAAACTTTCTTGCCGATTACCCGAAACCAAAATGGCGACGACCACAAGAAATTGACATCAGCGTCTCTATAGTATTTGTCTATATTTCTGAGATGAGGTATTATGTACATTATTTACATTATTCAGACTATTGTCCTCTTCTTTGTTGCCATATTTATCACAACGTTTCGGCCTTTCAATATCTGTCTATATTTCTGTGATGACGTGTTATGTACACTATTAACATTATTCGGACTATTGTCCTCATCTTTGTCGCCATATTTATCACAACGTTTAGGCCTTTCAATATCTGTCTATATGTCTGACATGAAATATTATGTACACTATTTACATTATTCAGACTATTGTCTTCATCTTTGTTGTCATATTTACTACAAAGTTTCGGTCTATCAGTATCTGTCTATATTTCTGAGATGAGGTATTATGTACACTATTTACATTATTCAGACTATTGTCCTCATCTTTGTCGCCATATTTATCACAACATTTCGACCGTTGTACGCTCCGGCCTTCTTCCGTTGGTTGGAATGTCGAACTGAACCCTTTAGTTCGCTGTTAGTTGGTTAGATCCAGTGACAGGACTCAAAAGACTGTGAGTTCAATACTCGGTTAAGGCAGTGGAGAACTTGGAGAGGGAAATTACAGGAGATAACTGATAACTGACATCCATTAAACATGGAATGTGGAACTAGAACAGTCTACCCCATTGAACTAAACAAAGGATTCAATTTGACATTCCAATCACCTGTAGAAGGCCGGAGCGTACAACGGCCGAAACCTTGTAATAAATATGGCGACAAAGATGAGGATAATAGTCAGAATAATGTAAATAGAACGTCTTTGTAGTTATTTATTTTCAGTGAATATCAATTTTCTATTTTTTCCAAAACAAGCCATACCAACCAGACAACAACGCAATAAGTGAAAGTTGTTCTACAACATTTCTTCTTATCTCATTCTCATCTACTGCAGCTTATATTGTTATCCCGTTACATCTCAATGGCGTCTTTTATCATTTTTCTCCAGTGCTGCTTTATGAAAAATTGAAATATTTGTCTTAATTAAATCCTCTCCTATTGCCCTGGTCATTCTTGTCTTTTCAATAATTACAGATATTTTAAAACTAACGCCATTACTGTAATTATTGGTTGCCGTTCATTAAAAAAAAAACATAGAATTAATTGCTGATTCGTTTACAAAATTCCTTTACAAGGATTCAAAAAATTCCAGTTTTTATGTTTAGCGGGATACGATTAAACAAGTAAAAAATGAACCCCTTAATTAGGCATGATAGATCAAAATACTCTTATTCCTGTCTGACTTCGACTAATGTCGTCTAAAATATATTGACCTGAGATGAGTGTGGGTTGGGAGCTGTAATTTATAACTTTTTTTTTAAAAACCTGGTTGACATGAAGGTGGAGTTCAAGCTCCATAAAAGAGAAACTGTTTTGTTCGCTAGCCTGTCCACTGCGGCTATGGTTACATGAAGTAGCGCTAATTGATACACTTTCTCTAAAATCTAGTATCAGCCACGATGATTCCTCAAGAAGCAGCATCTAAAACTTAACCTGCTGCTGATCCAAGGCGCAACGCTTCCTATGCTCCGCTTTCAACTGAATACACGTTCCAAGATTCATTTCTAAGTTTCATTCGTCAAACATTGTCATCATAGAAAAAGTAAGCTTTTCCCGTACACGGCAGTTAGAAAGCCAAAGTTCAAGTACTCCTCTGAATACTGGCGAAACTTTATTGTTAACAGTACTCGTCTTAAATACAATAAATAGCTGTAGGAAAACAAAAACTAAAACAGATTTCCTACAGTGAATGAAAACAAACTTCCAGCGAATATATAATTTTCTACATTAGTTTAGTAAATGAATGATTGTAGATACTCGTAAAAACAATAGAATTGTGTGACGTTTTACTGTTGGATTCAGCAAAAAGTACTTAATACATTAGTCATCAAACATTTTCCATTGGTATTTCTTGATTAAAGATCAAAAGATAAGGCAAAGTTATCCGTGTGTGTGTAACGTAAATGCTGATAGACTAGAAAGGATAAATAGGAAAATAGAAATATATAAATTTTAAGTTTAACAAGGAAAACAATTCTTAGTACATTGGTCCCCCATCACAGAGAATAAGGCGGTTTGAAATATGGAACCTTATAAAAGTTGGTAATAGAATTTATAATAAGAAACACTACATTCCAATAAAATAAATTTTTATATGGCGTATCTTACGCCATATCATCAAAATTTATTTTACTGATATTGCGTAAGTAGTCACTATCATGTAGACACTAAGATATATTCCGAATATATCCTTTCGCCTCCAAAACAGCTGAAGAAACGTCCATTCTTAGCAATCTTTTCAACGTGTAGCTTGAGATGAAATGTCAAAAGACAAAGCAAAGAAATCTGACGATTTTATTACGCAAGTCAGGAGTTGCCAAAAGTGATTGACATCGACTCGTAATAATCGATGGAACTATTTAGTGGTCCGATAAATGCTTGCGGGGAGTCTAAAGGGATCGATAAACGTCGAGGGATTATATTACAGTTTTTGAACTTCAAACTAACATTCGTATCACTCAAGAAATGGTGATGATAATAATCGATAAAACCCACTGACTTGATTGGATTATTTCTCCGTTTAATTTGTAAACAGAAAATAATGCAGACACTGTATCTCAATTACAAGATAAACCCATTGATATATGTATGAATATCGAAGAGAAATCAAAACTAAAAAGTTCCAATGACTATTTGATTACTATTACTAAATAGTCCAATCTGGGCGCAACACTTCAGCCATTTTGATTCGCATTCCCAAATGCACGCATAACTGAAGCTTGTTGTAACCACACAAATGCAATTCTAATTAATTAATTATCCTAAATAAGCAGATGAACAGACTGAGCCTAGAATTACGACTAAAATTCACCGATTTGCAACTAAATATCAATGTCCTTGCAACTGTATATGAAACCCAGCCTTCCAAATAATGACGTCAATCAATTCGATAAAAGTTATATTATTTTATTTTTAATGTGCTTATTATTACCTATAATATTTATAAAGATTTTTCTCATTGTTATAAAAATATT